AAAAAAATATTAAATTTTCTTTGTTGGATTTACACATCATTAAAATTAAAAAAATCAAGTGATTTGCTGGCATCTTAACGAGCCACCTGTCATTTAACTGATAGAAGGACCATTTTGGTACCAAAAATGAAAGTTTAAGGATAATTTTGGTACTTTTTAAAGCTGAGAGACAATTTTGGTGCCAAAGTGAAAAGTTGAGGGACCAAAATGATACTTAAACCTAATTTTAATAGGATGCTTCCAGGAAACAAGATTTTCAAGGTTGGTAATTGATCACTCGTGTTTTCATGAGGAGCCAGAGCAGGTAATTAGTCAACACAAGTCAATGGTCTTCCACTTCTTTAACTTGTGCATGTTCTACACACTCAGTGATTGTACTGTTGAATTCTGTAGGTCCACCCAATCTTTTGAGTTCTTCTTTACTAAGACAAAAGTTAAGAGCACAATAATTATTTTTTTTTCTAATTAATTTGTATTGAAAAATTAAAAATTATCTTTGATTTTATTAAGCCTAGTTAAAAGCATCCATGAAGCATTGGTGATAAAAATAAGGTCAATTTTTGTGATTGATTTTCTATAATAATTAAATGTAAAAAAGTGCAATTGATGTACTTTTAACTCACGCGCTTGATAAAAAGTTAGACAAACCCTCCTTCCTAAATAGTAATAAAGATTTATATTAAATAAGTATGGGTTTATATATCATATGCTTTTAGAGCACAGGAGTATTAATTATATAATAATTGTCACTTTTTATCTTGAAAAAGACAAAGTTAATTTTTTATTTTAATTATAAATGTCAAATGTTAGATTTTTATTGATTAATTTTATATTAAAAGTGAAAAGTCATTTTTTTAATATAAAATTTTACATTTTTTAAGAAAAAAAGTCATAATTATTGCCTAATAATGACTTCTTTTAAGGCATAGGAGAGACAAACCTAATAAGTATGGCGAAATGAGGGCTGCCAACTTACATTAATTCTCTCACTTAGCTGATGCCTTCTCATTTTTTTCTCTACTTTCATCAGCGTTCCTTCAAGGCCTTGCGCTGCACCATATGCTACACGATCTTTTTAACAACTATATATTGTCAAAACAATAAACTTGGTTTGTCCTTTGTATCATCTTCCCCTATACATATTTGATATTGATATTATTGAGTTATGGCCTGTTTTCTGGTGGTTGTATCTTTTGCTCCAGAGTTGTTGACTGTAACTATACCAAGTTACTAAAACCTCATGACTCTTATATCAAATAGTTTATTTGTGTTTGGTTGAGCCTTAGTTTTCAAAAATTTCATAATTTAAAATCAGATTCTGGGAAACAAGAAGATTTGAACCATCCTGCTTTTGTTGAATGGTGGGTTAGGTTTTATGCTTCTAAGATAGTGTTAGATTCAGAAACTTAATGGAACTTTGACCCTACTTTCTTTTTTGGTTAGATGGTATGTGAGTCACAATGCGAGGGTGACGTGAAAGGAATATACTTTTAAGTTGCCTTAAGCTTTATATCTTTTCACATAATGCTTTCATGGAAAAATTATTTGACTAAGAGCAGTTCCACCATTCGATCTTTTACATTAGTCAAAGTCAAAACAATAAAACTGGACGAGACTTCAATCTGAATTCTGATTTATGTGTTCTAAATTATAATTTATGTGTGTTTTATTCCATCATTTTGGTGTTTTGCTTGTTTGATTCCAGCATTTAGTTTGTAAGGAATGAAGAACAAGCTACCTGCAACTGAAATAAGACTGAAATCTGAATTATGCGAGTATAATGCTCTTATTCTTATTGACATGTTTAGTTGATAGAATGTGATTCCTTAATCAAAATATAAAAATCAGATAAATTAGATAGAAATCATGCTGGTAATTTTTATTTTTTATTTTTTTTAGGTTTTGTATTTAAGGGGCTCCTGCTTCTAAGTAATATCAACGGTCAGTCTTCTTTTCTCTGTTGCATTCTCAATAACTTTAATAGGATGCTTCCAGGAAACAAGATTTCCAAGGTTGGTTAATTGACTTGGGTTTCCACGAGGGACGAGAGTAGGAAATTAAGTTAACAAGTCAATGGCATTCCACCTCTTTCACTTGAGCGCATTCCAACTTCCACACACTCATTTTTTGCATGTATTGTTGAATTGTGAAGGTCCACCTTAGCTTTTTGTTAAAATTCGTTAAACTGGTATCTTCCTTTAGTCTTCACCCCACCCAACTCTAAATTAATGCCTTCTCCTTATTATTTCTTTGATATTCCCTACAGTTATATGTAAGTAGAGCAGAATGGTTTTGAGAACTGAGTAGACACCACCACAAAAGATTAAATTTCCTTGACACCGTCTTCAGTTTGGTTGAGCTTCATCTTCATTTTGTTCTTTTCACTATCAAAAATCATGGTTTTGGGTATAGGGCCCTTCTAATTAATTATCACAGGATGTCAAGTAAAAGATTAACATAAATTATTCTTCACAAAACGAGATTATTTGGGCAACGTACGTTTAGTCGCTATGGTTTTATTTTCTTTGAAAGAACCCCAAATAGTTAGTCCTCGTCTTAATGAAATTTTCATCTGTACCAATTGCATCACATGTTTAGTGTCAACCGTATCTTTGATGGAATTAGATAATGCACTTCACATTTTCAAAGGAATCAAATATTTAAATTTACTAAATTACCCCTTAAATTTAAACTACGTTACCCTAACTTCTTAAATACTAATAAGGATACTTTAAACAAAAGCTAATATTAGATTAAGGATCTGTTTGGTATAACGGTTAAAATTCAGCTAAAAGTGAATAGTGGGTGGCGGGTAGCGAGTGGCGGTTAGCGGATAGTAAATGACAAATAGCAAAAAGCGGATAACGGATAATAAATAGCAGATTCAATTAATATAATTGTTTGGTTATATAATAGTTAATGATTGTTATTTTAAATTAAATGACTGATAA